TTACAGCCAATTCTCTCCACTTGAGTTGTACCACATCAGCAAATGAAGATCCCAAAGGCTTTACTCCATTTGCATCATCACGGTCAGCTCTATTCTGAGGAGGCAGCTCTTCCCCAGTCATATTTTGAGTGCCTTCCAACTAAGGGCTCATCTTCTGACACTATATCTGACAATATTCTAGTGTACTTCATCATGTTTCAATATTCAATATTCTGGTGCTGACAGTGTTCCACTGCTATTCATAAGGTTTTCAGTGACTAAATCGTCATAAGTAGTCTGTTTCTCCTTTTTCCTAGTCTGTCTTCATCTGGAAGCTCAGCTGAAACCTGTTCACCATGGGTGACCCTGCTGGTATTCACAATGCCTGTGGCATAGATTCCAGCATCATAGCAACACACAAGCCACCACAGTATGACAAGCTGACAGACTAGTGGTGGAATGTGGAGACTAGATAGATGCAAATATCTCACGTGCCTTGTACTTTATTCCTATTGACCAGCTCTGCTCTACAGCCTTACAGAACCGTTCTCTGATCCACTCTCTCAGTCTTCCTTCAGTGTCTGTCCTCTTCCCTTCTCTTCAGAGAACCTTCTTGAATCTTCCCTTTGAGGTTCTGAGATTTTATATTTAGTACAAAAAATCAATTAGCAAGATGGAGCTTGGACACATATTCCCATAAGCAGACTCTGGGGAATTGATCCTGTGACTTTCTTAACCTGGGAACCAAACCTCTCTGAGAGCAAATCTGAGGACGGGGAAGAGGAAAAGTGTGTATATGTGTGTGGGGGTGGGGTGAGGGGGGTTACCTAACTAAATCTCTGAGCTGCCTGAGGGGCTCCCTCCTTGTCAACAGGCCCTACTCCTTCTTGCCTTTGCCTCAAGACATTCTTCCACATACATCTTTTAAATTTCCATTTTCTTTTTGGTTCCATCTTTTAATTTTTGTGTTTGGACACCTCCATTGGTTTGACTTTTTCCTTTAGTTGTTTCTTCCAACTTAAATCCTCAGGCCAGAAGCCTGGCCCTGGCTTAACCTTGGTCCTCCATTTGCCTGGAAAGAAAACTCAGATTCTTTTCATCAGCAGGAGCCACTAGACAAGGTAAAGAAAGTAAAGGGCTCTTTCTCAGGACTAGGAGACACATTGTTTTCTCTGGTGTTTCTGGTACCCAGATAGATGCCCATGCAGTCTGAATTTCTCTGTAAGACCCCATGGTACAGATCTGGTTTACTGTTGAACTCTATTTACCAGAGCAGCTGCCAGCTCTGTCTATTTCCTTACAGTCAGCCTAGCTTTGTAAAGTTCCTGCTGAATTGTGCTAACTCTGTAAACCTGATTAAATCTCAAACCAGGGCTTTGGGGATTACGGAACAGCAGCCTCTTGCCAGCATGCTGACGTGTTCAGGTGACCATAAATCAGACTTTCCCTACCTTTCCACCTTGAGTGGAAAGAGGTTACTATGAGGAAGGCTAAGCAGGCAAGTCACTGTTTGTGTGGGAATCCCAGACTTGGAAAAGACAGAAGCAATGAGACATTGACAGATGGAGAAATGAGAAGAGGAGGGAGGAAGGAAGGTAACACCCATTACAAGACTTCCAAAGAATGGAGCTACGCCCCCTGGTGGTACCCAAGCTGTTCTTGGCTGGTACAGTGACATGGCAAGAAAGCACTGACTGAATCACAGAGTGAGAAAGTGGTTCTCTTTCCAAGTCTCTCTCAGGCTTATGATCATCTTAAAGAGAAAATCTCCCTTTTGCTGTATCTCTCAAGTAATTCTAACAGGAAGCAGGCCTCAGTCCTGGCTGCAGCGCTGTCCATCTGGAATCTGTTGTTGTTCTGATGCATAGGGACCCTGCATAGGGTTTCCAAGGAGCAGCTGGGGAGTTTGAACCACCGACTTCGTAGTTAGCAGTCCAGTGCTTATCCTACAGCACCATTCCTCTGGAATATAGAACACTCTTTGATTTCCACTGCATTTGTGGCCTGCTATCTATTTACTGCCAGTGATAATGTTTGTTGTTTGCATTGGTGATATACAAGGGCTTCCAAAAGTTTGTGGAATAAAGGAATTACAAAATAGTGGGATTTTCCCACAAACTTTTTGAAGCTCTCATAGAATCGTCCAAATTAATCTATTATGGCACTGAATTATAGTTTTAAAAAAAAGTGCAGGGCCTGACTGATTAATGTTTAGAAAGGTCTTAAAAATGATCCTGTTTCCAACTTCATCCATTCATTCAGTTATTCTGGATTTGGTACCACAGAAATCTGAAAGAAACCTTTCTTTTCTTTGATATTGCAGATTCCAGAAAGAAGTTGGAGACTGAAGATTTAAAGGAAAATGTTGTTTCAAAGTGTCTGTCTTACTTCAAAGAGCAATGCCAGAAACATAAAAAGGTATTGTCGCTGTTTTGCAAGTGGTTTCCGACTCATAGCGACTCTCTGCACAATGGAATGAAATACTGCACAGCCCTGCCCCATGCTTACAATTGTTACGCCTGAACCCATTGTAGCTGCCACTATGCCAATTCATCTTATTGGAGGGCTTCGTCTTTTTCGCTGACTTACTCCAGGGACTGGTCCCTCCTGATAATATGCCCTAAGTATGAGAGCCAAAGTCTGGCTTCTAAGGATTCTGGTTATACTTCTTCCAACACCAATTTGTTTTTCTGGAAGTCCATGGTACTTTCAATATTCTTTTCCAACACCATGAATCATGAAAGCAGCAGTCAAGAAATCAAAGGATGCATTGCATTAGGCAAATCTGATGCACAAGACCTCTTTAAAGTATTCAAGAGCAAAGCTGTCAGCTTGAGTACTAAGGTATGCCTGACTGACCCAAGCCTCATATACATGTGAAAGTTAGACAATGAATAAGGAAGACCATGGAAGAATTGGCGAATTTGAGGTATGGTGTTGGAAAAGGTATTATTAACCACTAATTTAAACGTGGTCTATTCAACTGTTCTCCAGTCAAGAAACCAATTTTCTAAAATCGAGGATCCTAAAGTTGTCTGTGAAAGTGACCAAAATAGACTATGCTGAATTCACATTTAATAGGTTAGCAGACTTTCAGTTAAATAGTAACTGATCATTTTCATTCCTTTTCATTCTTTTTGGTAAGGCTCTCTTGCTGCTTAAAATTATCCTGTTTCTTGCTCAGTTGGAGAGATTATAAAAAGAAAGCTGTATGGGGTGAGGTTGAGAATCTTTGTAAGACTTGGCTTGTATCTTGACAATTTGATAAGTTGAGGAAGAAAGTGTCAAAGGTAATACACTCCTACTTGTGGCTGGAAAACATTTTGACAGACTTGTGCTTTGGAACACTATTGACACGGACATTGTTTAGAGGTTTATGAAAACCTTTATTTTTTGAGATTAACAAAAAATCTCAGACTCTCTCTGGCTTTCCTATCTAGACAAAGAACTAAATGGCTGGTTCAAGATCTTCCTACTTCCAAGACCATTACCCACTTATACACCCAAGGAAAGGACACCTGGTCGCATAGTGATGACAAGCACGTAGTGATGACAAGTTCAGCAATTTGCATCTACTAGCTAGCCGTTCCACAAGAGAAAGATGAGGCTTTCTGCTCCTGTAAAGATTTATAGCCTCGGAAACCCTATACAGGCTGCTCTCAGTTGGAACCAACTCCACGGCACACTACCATCACCACCACACCCAAAGAAGGATCACTGGTGGCACTCTGGGTTAGGCATGGGCCTGCTAACTGCAAGCTCAGCGGTTCAAGCCCACCAACCATTCCATAGAAGAAAGATGAGGCAGTTTGCTCCTGTAAAGATTCACTATCTCAGAAACCCTATATGGGTTTGCTATGAGTCAGACTTAATGGCCGTGGGTCTGGTTTGGGTTTATACACACAAGGATGATCAGAAAGGAAGCCATTGTAGGCTCTTCTGTGACAAGAAAGCAAATCAATGCAATGTTAGGATAACTCAGATCAACAATAGGCTTTTAAATACCCAAATAAAATAGCTTGGGCCCCTTTCCTTCCTGGATGAGACGTTTAGCAGAGGCACAAGGTTTTCAGAGATTTCCAAGGGCAGTGAGAGAGAGGGGAGACTTTGGTGGTCATCCACTACTCTGGTTTCCAGGCCAGTTCTTTGTCATGCCTCCTGCCTTTTGCCCTTTGACTGTCCCACTTCATTCACACGGTATGAGGGTAGTGGGGGATGGAGGAGGGCTGTGGCACAATCAGACTAGGCTTTAATGACCAAGACATCCCTGCCCCAGACTCTGTGGCTCATGCTACCAGAGGAGACTTCTTGTCTGTGTCTCTCTCCCCCAACAACCCCCTTCCTAGCAGATCATCTGCCTTAGATATGGACCTGTTCACCTTTTGGGAGAAGCAGAAACCTCCAATTTCAGATAACCTTTTTGTAATGCAATATAACTTTCAATCTACATCACATATTAGGATCTAGGTACATACTTGCCTTAAAAAATAATTAAGAAGTTTGTTAAACAAAAAGGTTAGCTGCCTCTGATCACCTAGCCTAGCAATGTAACCCCCAAGAAGCATATACTTTTTTTTTTCTTAAATACATCTCTGATAAAATTCTTTTTTTTTTGAGTGATTTTTTTTTTTTTTTAAATTGTGGTAAGAAGGGGACTTCAAAAATTTCAAGGAAAATTTCCAATATCCTTCAATTCCATTTTCCATGAACTTTCTGAAGCCCCCTTGTATATAGGTAACAAAATATCAGCCATCTTCAAGTACCCAGTTCACCAGCATCAATTATGTTCATCATTTTGTTCAGCCTCAGGTAGTATTCTTACCCATGACCTTTCTTGCTGTAAGTGAAGAGAAGATACCTTGGAACTCTGGGAGAGGAGAAGAGAGGGGTATCCTTGGCTTTGGTGGTGATTGTCTTTGTCTCTACAGGGCCAGGAGATCTGGGGACTGATTGTCCTCTGCCAGGCAGCCAGATGCAGCTAAAGATGAATGTGGGAAAAGTAGCAGCTTGCTACGTTCACCATGGAACAGCCAGTTCCCAGTGACATGGAAACTGGAGAACAGTCAAAGTCTCCCTCTCACATTAAATTGCTCAGAATCAACCGAGAGCTTCTGGTCACCCACATCCGCAACACTCAGTGCCTATTGGACAACCTGCTGAAGAATGACTACTTCTCCGAGGAAGACGTGGAGATCGTGTGTGCCTGCCCAACCCAGCCTGACAAGGTGCCTAGGGGTAGGGGCTGGCAATGACAGGATGCGGAAGAGGGTTCATCTCCCTGTTGACTTGAGTGAAGAGCTTTGGGCAGATTTTCACTTTGGGGTCTTCATAGAATATAACTGCTTGGGTTCTTGACTGAATACACAACGAGGCAGAAAACCCCTTGTTCATCTCAGCACAATTGCTATGTGCTTTGGCACACAAACAGCTCTTTTTAAAAAATCACTTTAATTAGGAGAGAAAAGGGGAAAAGGCATAAAGCATTAGCAATAGTGTTTTACCCGCTCATTGCTGGGTAGAACTCAGAGGATGGGCATTGTGCTGGTGCCGGAGTGATTCTGGGTCGACAGTAAAGACTTTTCTATATTTCGCATGTGGGACATCTTTATCTCCCTTGGTTTCCCTTTAGCTTTGTGTCCTTTTCTGATCATTAAAATTAGCAAGAATAAAAAAGGTCCTTCATGGCTAGAGGGATGGCTGAGCCCATTGGTCATGTGACCTCACTGAAGCTCAAGAGGGGCAAGAAAGTTCTCTGGGGAAAGCCAGTGAGACACTCAGATGCTTTGGTCTCTTCTCTTGGTTGTTCTTTTGAACTTTCAAAACAACACAAATGCCACTTTTTAATAGAAAACTCAGGTGGGGGTGTGGTTGATGTCCTCTTGCTGTGTGTCCCAGCACCATTCCTCATTTCATTATCCTTGAGGGGTGACTGTCACACTAATCTCTAGATGGCAGTAAAAGCAGTTGCTATCTAGCCAAAACCATGTGTGTCCGAGTAGAATTGTGCTCCATGCAGTGTTCAATGACAGTGATCATCAGACCTTTCTTCCAAGGTGCTCCTGGGAGACTAGAACCACCAACCTTTTGATTAGCAGTGTGTTAGTCGTTTGCACCATGCAGGGACTAGACAGCAATAGTATCAGGTGAAGAGGGAAAAGGAGACAGAATTCCACTGGTGGACACTGGTTCTAGTTGCAAGTCTTACCTTCTTTATTTTTTAGGATTGTGTAAGCCTCCGGGTTTCTTAGAACTGTGTGGGTTTATTTCTAAGATGGTCCATTTCACAGATCCTAGGTCTCCACCGTGTAGACTCTTACATCAGCAGGGACTGTAGTAAGAGCTCAAAGCCCTGCCTAGTGCCCACCTGGGGCCTCTCCCATAGAACATGCCCCTTGTTCTGGCTCATGTCCTCCTGCTTGTGTCATCACCAGGTCCGTAAACTCCTGGACCTGGTGCAGAGCAAGGGCGAGGAAGTGTGCGAGTTCCTCCTCTACGTCCTCCAACAACTCAAGGATGCTTACGTCGACCTCAGGCCTTGGCTGTCAGAGATCGGCTTCTCTCCTTCCCAGCTCATTCAGAGCAGAGCTGTGGTCAACACTGACCCAGGTATGGTCAGCTCCAGGGGGCTGCAGACACCAGTGTAAGCCAGGCTCTGGGGTCCGGAAGTGCTAGCAATGCTGTAGTGCAAGCCTGACAGGGCACAAAGGCCTGATCCACCATTGCCGGCCCATGCACGACCCTCACAGGGAGTGTTGGCTTCATTTTAGGAAGAGACAGCTGACCTGAGTCTCCGCAGTGCAGCACAAGTGCCTGTGCTTGACCGGGCCACATGTCGCTGTCTGGTCCCATGGAAATGTCATTGTGGTCTCAATTATGACCTCTTGTTTACTCCCTGTTCTGATATTTATAGAGAATTTCCTGCTTGCACACATTCAAGGTTGAATCTTTTTAAAATCTTTTGATGCAGTATTCTTTCACCCACTCTGGGTGCCAGTCCTTGTTTCCAACAAGAATTTATGGTGCACCCACTCTGTGCCAAAGCACTGTACAGGGTGCCAGAGATCAGACGGCAAACAGGCACTGCTACGATTCTCTTGCCCTCAGGGAAATCAGGATCTAATGCAGGAGAGCACGTTAAATAATTCATCACACAAATGTTTCATTGCAGATGGTGATAAAGGGCCATTATGGAACACCCTTTTGTTTGGGGAAGAGCCTCTCCCTTGGGTGTAAGCCTATTTTCATGACTCAGTTCTGCTGAGCACACAATGCCGGTGTAAACATGGTAGAACATCCACCCCACTGTGGGCAGGCCCAGACTCACTCTGTGGTGTTTGCCAAGGCTTAGTTATCCTGAGGGCCTCTCCTTGGGGACCATAGTTGACTTGGTGATATTGGAAAATGGGTTTTCATGTCAATTTACCCAGTGGTGTTTTAGATGAGGAACAATTCAATTTTAATCCAAACTAATGATGAAGGCCATGCCTTTTCACCAGAGGTTTTGACATCCAATTTTACTTTGGTCCAAGCGCCTGAATTATAGCAAAAGGAAGATGAGGGTAGTTTCTTCCTTACAGCCATTATATCATTGGGGCTGGCTTGTGCTCTTTGAACAGGACTGTGGGTTGGGAGCAGAACAGGAGGTCCATGCAATGTGGCCCCCATGTTTGAGGGGGCTTCTGTTTATGGCTGCACATCATTGGTTGACAAGCTTGTACAGAGGAGTAGGGAGGCTTGTCACTGTGACTCTCACTGACAAGAAAGCAGTCCCAGACACTGATCACAATGGCAGTCCGTTGCCCTCTGAATGGATGAGACAGGGGCAGGCAGAGAGATTGAAGCTCCAAGGCCTTCAGGTGGGCTCTGCATTTGAGGAGTTATTGCACGCGACCAGGTTGTGGGCTTTGTTTGTATCTGTGCTTGCTTCTCCTTGAGGACCTCCCCTTTTGATGCCGTTTCCCCCTGTCTCTCTCTCTCTCTCTGCCTCTTCCCCTGTGCCGGCAGTGAGCAGGTACACACAGAAGCTGCGGCATCACCTGGCCTGCGACTCCAAGTTCATCCTGTGCTATGGTCAGAAGGAGGAGCTGCTGCTGGAGGAGCTATACACCGACACGGTCATGGAGCTGGTGGGCTTCACCAACGAGAGCCTGGGCCTCCTGGGCAGCCTGCATGGCCTCCTGGACCACTCCACCGGCATCCTCAACGAACAGGCCGAGACGGTGTTCCTGTCCGGCAACGCTGGGGTGGGCAAGTCCATGCTGCTGCAACGGCTGCAGGGCCTCTGGGCCAGCGGCCAGGTGGGCGGCGAGGTCAAGTTCTTTTTCCACTTCCGCTGCCGCATGTTCAGCTACTTCAAGGAGAGCGATGTGCTCTGCCTCCAAGACCTGCTCTTCAAGCATTACTGCTACCCGGAGCAGGACCCCGAGGAGGTGTTCACCTTCCTGCTGCGCTTCCCCCACACTGCCCTCTTTACTTTCGATGGCCTGGACGAACTCCACTCGGACTTTGACCTGAGCAGCGCGCCTGACATCTCCTCTCCCACAGCGCTCGCCCACCCCCTTGTCCTGCTGGCCAATTTGCTCAGTGGGAAGCTGCTCAAGGGGGCCACCAAACTGCTCACCGCCCGCACGGGCATCGAGATCCCGCGCCAGTTCCTCAGAAAGAAGGTGTTTCTGCGGGGCTTCTCCCCTAGCCACCTGCGGGCCTACTCCAGGAGGATGTTCCCCGACCGGGCGCTGCAGGCCCGCCTGCTGGAGCAGCTAGAGGCCAACCCCAACCTCTGCAGCCTGTGCGCTGTCCCCCTCTTCTGCTGGATCATCTTCCGCTGCTTCCAACACTTCTACTCTGCCTTCGACGGGGCCTTGCAGCTGCCAGACTGCACGCTGACGCTGACTGACATCTTCTTGCTGGCCACCGAGGTCCACCTGAACAGGACGCAACCCACGAGCCTTGTGCAGAGGAACACTCGGAGCCAGGTGGAGGCCTTCTGCTCAGGCCAGGGAATCCTGCACTCACTGGGCAGGTTGGCCCTGTGGGGTATGGAGAAGAACCTGTTTGTCTTCAGCCAGGAGCAGGTACAAGCTTCTGAGTTGCAGGAGGGCGACCTGCAGTTAGGCTTCCTGCGGGCCATGCTGGAAATGGGCCCTGTAGGGGAGCAGTTGTCCTATGAATTTTTCCACATCACCCTCCAAGCCTTCTTTACAGCTTTCTTTCTTGTGGTGGATGACAAGGTGAGCATGCAGGAATTGCTCAGATTCTTCCAGGAATGGGTGCCTCCTGGGAAGACAGTGGTGGCATCCTGTTTCCCGCACTTCGGCCCTTTTCAGTGTCTGGGCCGCAGTGGCCTGGCGAGAGAGGACCCTTTCAAAAACAGGGACCATTTTCATTTCACCAACCTCTTTCTCTGTGGGCTACTGTCCAAATCCAAGCAGAAACTCCTCCAGCACCTGGTGCCTGTGGCCACCCTGAAGAGGAAGCGCAAGGCCCTGTGGGCACATCTGTTTGCCAGCCTGAGGTCCTACCTGAAGAACCTGCCCCGAGTTCAGACTGGGGACTTCAACCAGGTGCAAGCCATGCCCACCTTCATCTGGATGCTGCGCTGTATCTACGAGACACAGAGCGAGAAGGTGGGGCAGCTGGCGGCCAGAGGCATCTGCGCCAACTACCTCAAGCTGACCTACTGCAACGCCTGCTCAGCTGACTGCAGCGCCCTCTCCTTTGTCCTGCACCATTTCCACAAACGCCTGGCCCTCGACCTGGACAACAACAATCTCAATGACTATGGTGTGAGGGAACTACAGCCGTGCTTCAGCCGCCTCACTGTCATCAGGTGGGGTTGCCGGGTCCAGGGAGCAGCAGGCCAGGCTGGGGGTGGGGACTCCAGAACTAGCATAGTGGACCAGGAATTCCTGGACCATCGCTGTCCGGACTTCCTTTCTCTCAAGGTGGCAGAGGGTAAGAAGCAAAGCTTTGGAGTCAGACAGAGCTGGACTTTAAAAATTGCTTCATATGTCTGAGCCTCAGGGTCCCCACCTGGCAAAATGATATGAGAACCCTAGCTCTGGTAGCATAGTGGTTACGAATTGGGCTGTGAACCGCAAGGTCAGCAGTTCGAAACTACCAGCTGTTCCGTGGAAGAAAGATAGGGCTTTCTGCTCCCATAAAGATTTACAGCCTCGGAAACCCTATACAGGGTCTCTATGAGTCAGAATCGACTCCGCGGCACATAACAACAACTGCAATACCAACAACCAGCATTGATTGAGTATAAATGCATTGCAAATATTATCACGGTTAACCCACTTAACAGCCCTGTAACATAGGTATTGTGTGGTTAGTCCTGGTTTTTGCAAATGAAAGCGCAGAAGCACAGAGAAGTTAGTAACTTACTCAAGGTCACACAGCTGGGGCATGGTGGAATCAGAACTCATTAAAATGCCTACCTTTTTAAGATTTAGGTGAGATTGGAGGTAATCCGTGAAAACTTTTACACACACAAAATTTTTTGTTATTGCAGACAGTGCTAATTAGCATTGGTTACCTTCCAAGATCAAAGCCAACAGCCTTTTGTTGCTAGGGCAGCTCAGCAAAAAACACTGACTTGGGGTTTCCTGTTTGATGATTTAGGAGAGATCTACTTGTATCTTGTATTTCCTGTATGAAAGAAACCTTTGCGAAACTCTCAAGCCCAAACCACTGCCATGGAGTTGATTCTAACTCACTGTCACCCTACAGTACAGAGTTAGTACTGCTCCCTAGGCTTTCTGTGGCTGTAAATCTTTACACAAACAGACAGACCCATCTTTCTCCCTCAGAGCAGCTGGTGGCTGTGAACTGCCGACCTGGCGGTTAGCAGCCTGATGAACAGCCCACTATGCCTTCAGAACTCCTTGTAAACTTCTTGTTATTATTGTTAAGTACCATCGAGTCAGTCCCAATTCATACTAACCCTGTGTAGGGTTTTTGAGGCTGTCAATCTTTATGGAAGTAGAAAAGCGTATCTTTTTCCAAGGGCCAGCTGGTGGACTTGAACTACCAACCTTATGGTTAGCAGTCTAGCAGGGTTTAAGTTCTCCATTACCCGGCTCAGGCGTTTCTCTAGACTGTGGGGATTTAGAAGTGCTTCTCAGTGTCTGCTGTGCTGGCAGTTGTTGTTGTTAAGAGCCACTGAGTTGGTTCTGACCCATAGCGACTCCCCTGTATAAGGTTTCCAAGGAGCAGCTGGTGAGTTTGAACTCTGAGCTAGCAGTTCAAATGACTTTGCTGTCTGGCGCATTAACCCAGAGCGCCACACCATCTTGTAAATTGTGTGGGGACCCTTGCTTAAAAAGTGCACAACCTAAAGTCTGTTCTCTGCCCTCAGTGAGCCATTCTTCTTGTTTCCAGAGCTTAGGTAATGTCACACCCAGGGTTTGCCATCTCATATGATGGAAATTCTGGGTCCACTCCATCCACCTGTCAGCTGAGGACCCATTTGGGCCTCCCTTAGGGCATCTGTTAGGATCCACATTGGCTGGGAGTTAGAGAAAACTCCAAACATTAGTGGCTTAAGTGTATTTCTCCCTTGTGGAAACCTAGAGGTAGGCAGCTCGCGGCTAGCAGGGTGGCTCTGTGGTCCTCAGGGGTCCAGCCCCGCTCTTTGTTCTACTGTCCTCACTACCTGCTTCCTACTTTCAGTCAGCCTGTCTGCATCCTCACCACCAGGAAGAAAGGAGGGCAAAGAAGGGCACAACTTGTTCTTATAACTGCTAAGCACACCTGTGCTTAGATTTCATTGCTAGAACTTGGTCACATGTGCCCCGCTGGAAAATAGGGGATTCTGTTTCTAAGCAGACATAAATATTGGGAGTGAACAAGACTATCTTGTAGCCAGCTGGGACGGTACACCCTGGCAGTTCAGAGTATACACACACTGTGTCCCAACACTGCGCTGGGTATTATGGGCAGCGGGGAGGAGGCATGGTCTTTTGATGTGGTTTGAAAATCAAGCTTTTATACATTCAGTGTTTTGCTTGTTACTCAGGGCAGCAACTCTAGCTGGTGGGCCAAATTCAGCTTGTGGTTGTTGTTAAGTGCCATCGAGTCAGTTCCAACTCATGATGCCCCTATACAAGGTTTCCGAGGAGCGGCTGGTGGGTTTGAACTGCCCATCTGGAGGTTCAAACTGAACTTGTGGTCCAGGGCTTATCCCACAGCCCCACACCAGGACTCTAAATTCAGCCTAGAGCTTGTTTCTATAAATAAAGTTTTATTGGAACACAGCCACATCCATTTGTTTACATTGATAGGGCTTCAGAAAATTCATGGAAAAATGGAAAGAAAAGATCATGAAATTTTCCCATAAATGTTTTGAAGTCCCCTCATATTTCCTCAACCTGTCCCTTGCCCTCAGTTCATCCCTCATACCCACCCATCCCTGAGCCTTCTTCTGTCCTTCATGACAGGGGAGAGAAGTTGGGAGATTGTGGTGGGTGTTACTTGTTTATGAAAAATTGTGTTTTTGCAACTGTTTTTTGTTGTTGTTGTGTACTGTTGAGTCGGTTCTGATTCATAGTGACTCTGTATAGGGTTTCTGAGAGTGGCTGATGGGTTTGAACCACCGACCTTGCAGTTAGTAGTCTAGTGCTTATCATACAGCACCACACCAGGGCTTGCAACTTATCTATGTTAAAATATCTGGCTTGCACAGAGTCTTCCCAGCGGAATTCCAGTAGGTGACTGGTCCTTGTCTAGGAGTTCTTCACAATTCTGAAGGCCCTGTTTCTGCACTTTCTAAGTCTAACCTAGAGAGGGCACTCAGATGGCACCTACACTTTCCTTACACAGACTGTGCCCCACGAACAATGTCCCTCAACTGCAGCACACCTGACCTCGTCAGATGGCAGGTCAGTCTTAGCCCAAGGTGATTCTGCATGTGGATGCTGTTGACATTTTGGATGAATCTGGATGGTACAAGTGATTTGCGATCAGTTGCTAACCTAAAGGTTGGTGGTTTGAGCCCACTCAGCAGCTCCACAGAAGGCCTAGAGATCTGCTCCCATAAAGAATAGAGCCAAGAGAACCCTATGGAGTACCTCTTCTCTGTAATACATGGAGTTGCCATGAGTAAGGACCAACTAACTCAATGGCACTAATATCAGCAACACTTCTGTGCAACACAATTGCAAAACCTCACCCATCACAGCAGACATCTACCATGACTGACCCCACTCCCAAGATGACAGCGAGTCCCCTCCACAGTCACTGCAATCACCAGAAGGCATTTCCACTGATTTCCAAACACATGTCCCCTTCTGTTCAGCGAGGGTCTAGCTGGCCTGGTTGCCACCATATATGCAAACTTTAGAGGCAGTTGGTGACTTTCTCATGTGACTTTGTTCTTGAAATGAGCAGGGCTGGGCTGTCGCCTACTGAGGGACTGGTGTTGGGTGGGTCTGCTGGCCCCACAGTGGCTAGCCTCTTTCAGAGCCTCCTGGCTGGCTATGTGCATAACTTGGAAGACTCCAGGGCCTGTATGCTTCTGGGTCCTGGTGAAATGAAGAGCTGCTCTGATTTTCACTTTTCTTTCCTGTTATGTTTCAGACTCAGTGTGAATCAGATCACAGACAGTGGGGTGAAGGTGCTATACGAAGAGATGATCAAATATAAAATCCTGACATATCTGGGGTACGTATTTCTCAAGAGTACTTGGCCCACTGCAGCTTAGCTTGGCCAGTATTCACTATTTAAGCCAATTGCAAAACCTCACCGAGCCTCAGCTTCTTCATCTGGAAAATTTGCATCATGATACAGGCAAGTAACTTCTGCACAGGGATAGCGGTGGTGGCTCAAGGGCAGAATGCTCACCTTTCATGTGGGAGACCGGGGATCTATTCCTGGCCAACATATCTCATGTGTAGGTACCATCTGTCAGTGGAGGCTTGCATGTTGACATGATGATGAACAGGTAGCAACAGAGTTTCCAGGTTAAAATGCACTATGAAGAAAGGCCTGGGGATCTAATGAAAATCATCCAGTGGGAACCTACGGGTCATCAGGGCCCAATCTATAAGCAGCCATGAAGGTGGCATGGGACTGGGCAGGGTTTCATTCTGTTGTGCTGCTTTATCAAGGGCTGACTCAACTGCAAGCAACAGACAACTGGTTTTTGTACAACTAGTTTCACCAACTTCCTGGAGGATGAAATTAGAGACTACCTGGGGGATACATTTTATAAACATTAAATATTGAAACAGTATGTATTAGGCTCTACTAGTATGTGTTTCTAAACCATCATCCAGAACCCTTGGGGACAGACATGAATCAGAATTCAGTGTAGATGCTACATGGTTGGTAACATGCCCAGTAGGATCTTGGGTAGTATCCCATTTTCAAAAACTTTAATATTACTTCAGCAAGATTTATCAATACTCAAACTAAGTGGGGATAAATAAAGACCGTAAATAACTCCACATCAGTTACCCAAAGATTTGAATTTTGGAGTTTGAGATAAGGGATTTGAGGCCAGTACAGCCAGTCACATGACCACTGTTGACGTAAACTGAAGCCATTTGTTAAGCTTCTTTGGGTCTCACCTTTAAAATGAGAACATGTAGAACGAAGCAAATGACCCTTTTCAGCTCTGATGTTTTGTGTGGCTATGGAATGCTGCAAAACCTTAGTTTAATTTCCACTTTCTTTTTACATTACAGTTGAATTATTCATATCAAGTGGTAAAATAACTGAAAGACACTGAGAAGGTCCCAATATCCAGAAACTTTTTGTCCTCTCAAGATGATGATTGTAATTTTAATCTAATGTGGTGCTGTGCGTTAGTGGGCTGGGCAGCAAAGTCTGTTTGAACCGCAAAGTTGGCAGTTCAAGCTCACGGTATAGCCAGCCAGTCCTAGGAAATGCTATACCAGGTCACTGTGGGTCAGAACCGACTTGTTGTTGTTGTTAAGTGCTGACGAGTCGGTTCCGACCCATAGCGACCCTGTACAGGGTTTTCAAGGCTGTACATCTATCTTTATGGGAACAGAAAGCCTCATCTTTCTCCCACGGAGCGGCCGGTAGTTTCGAACTGCTGACCTTAAGGTTTGCAGCCCGATTCGTCACTTAAACAATAAAAGCAGCCATTCAGTGAGGGTCACTCTGAGTCAGAACAAGTTCTACTTTCACTTAACAACAACAAAACCAGTGAGCACTTACATGCCAGGGTTTTGTGTTATATGATCATTTTTATAAATTCTATGACATCATCTTCTTTAGCAGGGTTATGGCTTGATTATTGCCTCTATATTACAGATGGAGAAACTTAGGCACAAAATGGTTAAGTAACTCATCCAAAGTCATAAAATTGGGAAAAGTGGGAGAGCAGGCATTTGAATCCCAGCTGCGGGTTGCCGGAGCCTCCAACTCTGTTTTCCGTGTATCCTTTCTCCCTCTATCCCAGGCCTTGGAAAGCATTTAGCCGTACCAGTCAGTTTGAACCACACGTTCGGCAGTTCAAGCTCACCAGTGGCTGCTCGGAAACCCTATACAGGGTTGCTATGGGTCAGAACTGACTCGATGACACTTAACAACAACTCACTTATTTTTATTAAATTGGGGTCATTAAATGATATCTCATGCCTGTGCTTTCTCTCAAAGCTTGTACAACAACCAGATCACTGATGTGGGAGCCACGTACATCGCCAAAATCCTAGATGAATGCAAAAGTCTCACACACCTTAAGTAAGTGGAGCTGGGTGTGGAAGGTTCCTTCATAGCTGCTCGTCTCCTCTGCTTCTCTTGCTCTCTCCTTACACTATTCAAAGAATAAATGTCAACATAGAGTTTTCACACTCAAGTCTTCTGTTTGCCCAGGTAAGTGGAAGGTGAATCCCCTATGTGGAGAAATGATGACCCGGTCGTGAGACTTAGACTTTGAATGGACCGCCTGCCATTGGTGGGGGGAAGACTTAGCATGCTGATTTCACAAACAGTTGACAAGAAGAAAAGTTTTAACTATTACCCTCTCTTGAGTACTAAGAAAAAAGGTCCACTATCCAATGGAAGCCAGGAGCTTGATCCTTTCCCTGTCTTAGAAATGTCCTGCCAAGGGTGCCAGAGATCTGGACTTGGCCTACCCCGGGCTATATGCCGTTATGGAGCGAATCTACCCAGGCTGCATGTGGAAAAGGTCTTTTCGAGAACCTCAGGGAGGAACCCTGTCTGATTGCTTCCTCAGAGCTTCAAGTCCTTCCCCAAAGGAAGTCCAGAATATGGCTATAAAATTTCATTCAATGGACTCCAGCACCCCAATAGAGAGATGGGGCCTCTATGGCTCTTGAGCTGAAGTGGCAGGCAGCCTGTCACTGCGGCAGACTGGAGATAACTGTCTATGACTCTGTCTACAGGCTAGGACTAAACAAAATAACGAGTGAAGGAGGCAAGTGTCTCGCCCTGGCTGTGAAGAACAGCAAATCCATCTTAGAGATTGGGTGAGTAAAAGCGAATGCAGTTACGTGTGATCCAACCTACTTTATGTGCGTGGGCGGCTCCATCTTTCTGGGCAGAGATCTACCAGCAGGACCAAAAGGGCAACTGCAGGAAAGTGGCTGCCTTGGGTGCCTCCTAGGTCCCCGGATTCACACATGAGCAGCCTTGTGGGAAGTCCCAGGATCGATTACAACTAAAATTGCATGTTGTTGTTGTTGTTGTTGTTAAGTGCCGTCGAGTCGGTGCCGACCCATACTGACCCTATCTATATAGGGTTTCTGAGGAGCAGCTGGTGAGCTTGAACTGCTGACCTTGCAGTTCAAACGGCTTTGCAGTCTGATGCATTAACCCACAGCACCACACCAGGACCTACACACAGAATTCAGTGCGTTACTATGAGCACATGGGGCAGTGGGGGTGGGGTGGGGTAGGGGGGAGTGTTCTAGCCAAAAATCACAGTGGGAGAGGGTTTCTACTTCTCCAAGTTTCCACAAGATGATCTATATTTTAAGAATATGAGTCCTTGTGTGGTGTTGCAGGTTCAGCACTGGACTGCTAACCACAAGTTTGGTGGTTCAAACCTACCAGCCACTCCCAGGAAACCCTATACAGGGTTATGATGAGTCAGAACTGACTTGATGGCACTTAAAAATAATAACAATGGAGGTTTTCTAAAGCATTTCATTTTATTATACATTTTTTTATCTGATTAAAAAAAGACTATTTTATCTGGAAATTGGAAAATATGCCAAATAAAATTAAAATCACCTTGTCAGAAATAATTATTGTTAACATTTGAAGTCAGTTAAAATCACCCCTTCCCCTTTTCCATCCTTCCCTTCCCCTCCCCTCCCCTTTCCTCTCCTCTTTCTAGCCCCATTTAAAAATATAGACTAGAGGTCAAATTATATACAAAATTGTACCCTACCTTTTTCTTTTAATCTCCTGCCGTGAGGAGTTTCCCACATCATTCAAATTTGATACTGCTCAGATCTATTGTATAAACACTTTTCAAGCAAAATGCTTTGAAAACAGTTATTCAGGTCAGTACTTGCTGGGGTTTTTAGCAAGTCCGACCTAGAGGTTTGTGGGCAGGTAGCTGCCTGGTGTCTCTGCTGCTTGGAGATCGCAGAAGTGTGTGGCTTTATAGAAAAGAAGTTCAGGAGGCTACAAGTCTGAATTCACCCACTTTAGGGGAAGCTTTTCCTCTGTCCACTCTGTTGGAAGACCCTGTCTCTTACAGCTTCTATAATTTCTTGATTCTAACTCTGGTAGCGTAGTGGTTACGAATCGGACTGCGAGCCGCAAGGTCAGCAGTTCGAAACTACCAGCTGTTCCCGCGAGAGAAAGATGAGGCTTTCTGCTCCCGTACAGATTTCCAGCCTTGGAAACCTTGTACAGGGTCGCTATGAGTCGGAACTGACTCCACGGCACCTAACAACAACAAGGTGATGTCCATGTAATGTCTGCTGTTGTTATTGTTAGGTGTCGTGGAGTCAGTACCGATTCATAGCAACCTATGTACAACAGAACCCAGTCCGGCACCAGTTTCACAATAGTTGCTACATTTGAGCCCATCGCTGCTGCCACTATGCCAATGCATTTCATTGGGCCTCTTCCTCTTTGTCTACGACCCTCCAGTTTACCAACATGATATCCTTCTCCAAGCACTGGTCCCTCCTGACATTATGTCCAAAGTATGAGAGATGAAGTCTGGCCGTCCTGGCTTCCAGAGAGCATGTTGGCTATACTTCTTCCAACACAAATGGGTTTGTTCTTTTGGCAGCCCATGGTACTTTTAGTATTCTCCTCCAGCACCATAGCACAAATACATCAATTCTTCTTTGATCTTCCTTATTCACTGTCCAACTTTTACATGCGTATTAGGTGGGTCAGGCACACCTTAGTCCTCCAACTGACATCTTGGTTCTTGAACACTTTAAAGAGGTCTTTAAAGAGCAAATTTGCCTAATGTAATATGTCATTTGATTTCTTGACTGCTGTTTCCATGAATGTTGATGGTTGATCTGAGCAAAACTTCAATCTTTTCTCCGTCAATCTTGATGTTATTTATCTGTCCAGTGGTGAGGATTTTTGTTTTCTTTACACTATATATCTTCCCCCATTTGTGCTCATTTGTTTTTTGTTTCTGTGTTTATGCTGCTTTTTAAAACTCAGTTGTGATTAGGTTTAGGGCACACTCTATACTGATATTGTCTGATGGTCTTCACAGAGAAACCCCTACTTCCAAGTGGGATTACATTCACAGGTTAGGTTAGGATTCGAACATATTTTGGGGGGAACACAATTCAATCCATAGTGCTCGGTGAGAGTACGTTGCTACAGCAGCCGCAGATATGCAGCGAATGGGCCAGGCAGATTTGCTTTGCTTTTTGTCTAGTTATGATGATGTTTTACATCTATGTTAGCCCATTTAATCCTCACAACAAGTTTAGGAGGGAGAACTCTTATCTTCCTTATTTTACAGATGAGGAAACTGAGATTTAAGCAGTTCCGTGATTCACCTGAGGTCACGCAGGTAGAAGGTGGGAGAGCCAGGATGAGGGCCCAGTCGTGAGACTCTGTAGTTGGATCTCTCCCCTTGTTTTTACCAGATCATCTCAAACTGTCTGCTCTGTCAATCCCTCCCACCCAAGCCTGAAACAATCCACAGGTCATAGTTTGGTAGTATATCCTCCTTACAGAAGAGGAACATTGCTGCTAAGGTTTCTTCTGAATGTACTTCCTTCTCCTTGCTTCATGGAAGGACTGTGGGTCCCATGCATGGAGGTCAGCACCAGCGCACAACCTTCCTTCCAGGCAGGTGCCCTCTCTACCCTCAGTAGGTGTGACAGCCCCAAATGTAGTCTCTTTGACTAACACTTCCCAGGAGGCTCAGGGCTGAGACTCTTCCTCCCCTTTATTCAACTTGCTCATCAACTCTCCTCACAGGGTTTCCCATGCTCTCTATTCTTCCCTTTCCTTTTGCATTTGAAATCCAGTCACAATGGCCTCCTCAGGGGCTGGGGTCAGACGTTAGTCTTTAGGCCACAGTTCTAGGGACCAAACAAAAACATTTGCCTGTGCCACTGGCAGAAAATAAGGGATGAGAGTAGCTGTATTGTGATATGGAGGAACTAACTTTCTCTGCTGTGTCCTGCCCTCAGGATGTGGGGCAATACAATTGGTGATGAAGGGGCACAGGCCTTCGCAGAGGCTCTGAGGAACCACCCCAGCTTGATCAACCTGAGGTAAGTGTTGCCCTTTGAAGACCCACTGCCTCCAGAGGATACTTTCTAGAGGGAGTGTGGTCAACATGGCCACTCAGTACTCCTGTGGTTTGTCTACAGAGTACCCAAGGAAAAGAGGACAATTGGTTTTCCTAATGAGGGAAGAATTTGTGTGTGGGATTTCTTTGAACATTTTTTATTGCCTGCAGAAGAGGCCTAAATTAAAGTGCACTCCTCTGTAAAAGCTCAGCTCTGTAAATTTTACATCTGAACACACCAGTGTAACCACCGCCAGATATAGAACAGGTCCAGTCTGCCCCTCCCCACTTCTCCTCATGCCTCTTGAGAGCTGGGAGGAAGAATGAGTAAATTGAGATAAAACTGAAAGAGAGACTGGCCAGCAGGTCCCTGCCCCTTCCTCATTCTCAGGATGCTGTTGGGACAAACAGTCCTCCTTTCGGTCACTGGCCAAATCCCAGCATCTTGGTATCACCCTCTTTTCTATCCCTCCTACCACAAAAGGGAATCCAGGATGCTGGGAATACAGCAGAGACCTTTGCCAGGTCTCATTGATGGGGCAGCTCAGCCTCCAGCCCTTCCTTTCCAAAGATCAGAGGAACTGAGCCCAGCCCACAGTGTGACACGAGTGTGTCACGCTGGGCTTCTATAGCCCAGCTGGTCAGTCCTGGAGCACTTTTGTGCTTGTCCTCATGCTCTAAGCCTGGTCTCTGGAACACTTCTATGTCTTGTCACATGTCAGCCTGGATGGGCGCCAAGTCCAGCTGGAGTCTTCCTAGTAGCTTTGGTGGCTGAAGCCACAGCCAAGTGTAGAAGTGTCTCTAATAATTTACCTCAAGTGTTTCTGTCCTAGTCTTGCATTCAACGGCATCTCCACAGAAGGAGGAAAGAGCCTTGCACAAGCCCTGCAGCGGAACACGTCTCTGAAGATATTCTGGTAACAACCAGAGTCATTTTGAAGGGTTGGGTCTTGGGAATTATTCCAGGGATTATACAAAGCCTAAATTTTAGCTGAAAAGCCTGCCTCTTAAGTGGAAAGGACTTAGGCCTTTCCTTAAAGTTTGGTTGATAATTTTAATTTCCTCTTAAAAAAAGAAAAATCCAAAACATCAAAACCCATTGCTGTTGAGTTACTGCTGACTCATAGCAACACTACAGAACCAAGTAGAAGACATGCCCGGTCGGGTTTCCATGGCTGTACTCTTTATGGGAAGCAGATTGCTATATCTTTCTTCGGTGGAGCTGCTGGTGAATTTGAACCACCTTCAGTTTGCTGCCGGGTATGTTAGCATTGTCCTAGCATTTGCTCCTAGAAAAGATGACCATTGTTTCCAGAATCACCAACAGGTATACAAGTGGGAAGTGGGCCCAGTGAGCATGGCTTTGAGGCCTTATCTTTGCCAATCTGCCTCTCAGGAAAACCAGAACACACTCAGATAGGACTTTCATGCTCTTGGCTCACAGTGTTCTCCCCCCACCCCAGACCCCTCCTTCCCAGCCTATCCAGTTGGTCTTCCTGCCACCTGTCACAGGAAGCCTGTGGTCCGTACTCCCTCCCTGCCCTGGAGGGGCATTCAGTAAGTGAATATGGTCCTCCTCTTGACAGGGCTTTGTGTCCCTTTTTTGTTTGCTTGTTTTTGTCATTTTATTCTTGTTATCTTTAAATTAAAGATGTATTTACTTGTATTATAAATTTCCAAAGAGTGAGGAGGAGTCCTAGTGTAGTGCTGTGGGTTCATGCGCCAGACCACAAAGCCGTTTGAACTGCAAGGTCAGCAGTTCAAGCTCACCAGCTGCTCCTCGGAAACCCTAGACAGGGTCGCTATGGGTAGGAATCGACTCGACAGCACTTTGCAACAAAGAGTGAGGAAGTCATATTGTATGTCGGTTTGAACCACAAGGTCGGCAGTTCAAACTCACCAGCTGCTCCTCCTGTACAGAGTTATTATAAGGCAGAACCAACTCAACAGCACTTAACAGGAGGAATCAGTCCCTGGAGAAAGACATCATGCTTGGTAAAATGGAAGGTCAATGAAAAAGGAAGACCCCCAATGAGGTGGCTTGGCACAGTGGTGGCAGCAGTGGACTCAGTGAGGCTGGCACAGGGCCTGGAAGTGTTTCTTCCATTGTGCCAGCAGTCCCTGTGAGTCAGAGCCGACTCAAGGGCCCCTAACAACAAATTAGTTACTGAAAGTAATGGAGGGATAATGTGTTCACCAGAGTTCTGATATCAGACCTGCTGGCCAATGGTTGCATTTTAAATTCTTTTTCCCTCAAAAAATCTTAAAAATATAAAACATTGAAGTCTGAAAAGTAGGTAGTAAAAACAGCTCCCTCATTGTGTTTTATAGATATAACCTTTTCCTTCTAGTCTTTATCCTATGTTTATTTAGATATATACTCATAAACAGGCAGTTGTTGTTGTTAAGGGCCGTCGAGTCAGTTCAGACCCATAGCGACCCTGCATAGGGTTTCCAAGGAGCAACTGGTGAGCTTGAACCACTGAGCTTGTAGTTCAAACGGCTTTGCAGCCTGGCACATTAACTCACAGCGCCACACCAGGTTACTGGGTTATAAATGTCTGATTTACAGATAGCTCTTACTTGTCCTTTAATATAAGTTTGCCCTCACTTTGAAACGATTGAACCAGCTCCTATTTGCAACAAATTCTTCATCACAATTCCCTTCACGTGCTGCACGAACAGCTTTTAAATCACTGAAAAGGCTTCTATCATTTTCTTGCACTAAAAAAAATAGGGTTAAATAAGAATATGCACCTGGTCCAACTTACCTACAAATTTTTAAAGACACAGCTGGGAATGGATGTTTTGTAACCCGGGGCTGCCTGTATTACTGTTCATATGTATAGGTGAGAATTCTGAGACCCAGAGACTTTAAGCCACCTGTCTGCGGTTTCCCTCCTAAAAGTGCTAAAACCTGAGCATGCCTGGCTCTGGGGCATCTTAGACACCACGCTTTTCTACCTCTTCCTTTACTTCCTCATTCTTACTACAGGCTGCACTTTGTACTACTGAATGCACAGTGTTCTACTAAATGGGTATTCACAGCTTACTTCACCAGTCACCCCAATTGATAGACATTTCAATTTGTTCCGGGTTTTCACTGTGACTGATAACTCCAATGTATAAATCCTTGTGTGCATATACATCTTTGGACACCGTCAGGTAAATTTCTAGAAGTGTAGTCGCGATGACTCAGAACTGACTCGACAACAACAACAAAGGTTGTTGACTCAAAGTGTAAGAACATTTAAAATTTAGATTGTTGTGGATGTTAGGTAACCTTGAGTTGGTTTTGACTCATCAGTGATCCTGTGCAAAAAATAAAACAAAACCCCAAACACTGCCGGGCCCCGGGCCGCGCTCTCGGTTGCTGCTGTATCTCAGTCCACTGTTGTCACCACAGCGTCAGCCTATCTCATTGAAGGTCTTCCTATTTTTCGCCGACCTTCCACTTTATCAAGCATGATTGCCCTTCAAGGAATGATGCGTGTTCTTTCTATTCCCTTCTCCTTTGCCATTGTTTTATCCATTGTCACAACCGGACCCAATCCTACTGAAAAGTGGAGCTTGGTCCCTGTGTGCTGAATCCAGACCTCTCTGGTTTTAAGGGTGGTTAAGAGACTCCTGACTGTCAGTCACTGAACTTAGGCTCTTCATAGCTGGTCTCAAAACAAAACACCGAACACATTTTTAGAAAAATTCATTTATTTTATTGTTTGGTGAAAATTGTTGTTGTTGTTAAGTGCCGTCGAGTCGGTGCCGACCCATAGCAACCCTGTACAGGGTTTCTGAGGGTGTAAATCCTTACGGGAGTAGAAAGCCTCATCTTTCTCCCATGGAGCAGCTGGTAGTTTCGAACCGCTGACCTTAAGGTTCGCAGCCCGATTCGTAACCACTACGCTACCAGGCATAGCAAAACATGTAGCCATTCAACAATGTCTTCTTGTATGATTCCTTGACATAGGATGCATGGCTCACAGTGTCTTTATTCTTGCTATCTACACCCAAATTTGCTATGAGTCGGAACCGACTCCACGGCACATAACAACAACAACAACATCCAAATTACTGCACCAACATGAAGTTAGATTCATTGCCCTTTAAACTACTTTAGAGTTTCTCTTGTCAATCTGATCTCTATAGATAAATCTCAATAGTTCACTTAGTAGAGAAATCTCAAGGCAAGCGTTATTTACTAATTGAGCTAAATTGTGATTTGGTTGAATAACGCTAAAGCAAAGGGAAGAAATGAGAAGGTAAAAAAGCTGAACAGAAAATTTGAAAAGGCAGCTCGAGAAGACTAAGCCAAATATTATAATGAAATGTGCAAAAACTTGGAGTTAGAAAACCAAAAGGGAACAACACATTCAGCATTCCTCAAGCTGAGGGAATTCAGGAAAAAATTCAGCCTCAACTTACAATATTGAAAGAATCATGGGCTGCCAAAAGAACCAACATGATCTGTGTTGGAAGAAGTGGAGCCAGGGTGCTCCTTGGAGGCCAGGATGGCCAAACTTTGTCTCTCATACTTCAGACATATTATCAGGTGAGACCAGTCGCTGGAGAAGGATATCATGTTTGGTAAGGTGGAGGGTCAGAGAAAATGAAGAAGAGAGACCCCTAATGAAATGAATTGGCAATGTGGCAGCATCAATGGGCTCAAGCGGGGCAACAATTGTGAGGTTGGCTTAGGACCAGACGGTGTTTCATTCTGTTGTACATGGGGTCGCTATGAGTTGATACCAACTCGATGGCACCTAACAACAACAAAATGGACAAAACATTGAATGATGCAGAAAGCATCAAAAGAAGATGGAAGGAATACACAGAGTCATTGTACCCAAAAGAAATGATAGATGTTCAACTATTTCAAGAAATACCATATGATCAAGAGCCAGTGGTAGTGAAGGAAGAAGTCCAAGGTACATTGAAGGCATTGGCAAAAACCAATAATCTGGGAATTGATAGGATGCAAACTGAAATCTTTCAACAAACTGATGAAGCATTGGAGGCACTCACTTATCTATGGCCAGCTGACTGGAAGAGATCCATATTTGTGCCAATTCCAAAGACAGGTGACCCAACAGAATGCAGAAATCATTGGTCAATATCATTAATATCTCATGCAAGCAAAATTTTGCTAAAGATAATTCAGAAACAGCTGCAACCATACATTGCAGAGAAATTCCCGAGGTTTAAGCCAGATTCAGAAGAGGCTATGGAACAAGGGATATCAGGTTTAAGCCAGATTCAGAAGAGGATGTGGAATGAGGGATATCAGGTTCAAGCTGGATTCAGAAGAGGATGTGGAACGAGAGATATCACTGTTGATGTCTGGTGGATCTTGACTGAAAGCAGAGAATACCAGAAAAGATGTTTACCTGTGCCTCATTGACTACACAAAGACCTTTGATTGTGTGGATTCTGACAAGCCATGGACAGACAGCATTGCACAACTGAACTGTGCTCATGAGGAACCTACCCATGGACCAAGAGGTAGTTTTTCAAACAGAATAAGGGAACACCAAGTGGTTTAAAATTAGGAAAGATGTACAGCCAGGTTGTATTCTCTTGCCATACTTATTCAATCTGTATGCTGAGCACATAATCCAAGAAGCTGGGTTATATAAAGAAAAATGTGGCATCAGGATTGGAGGAAGACTCCTTAACAATGTGCAATATGCAGATGATACAACCTTGCTTGCTGAAATCAAAGAAGATTTAAAATACTTACTGATGAAGATCAAAGACCACAGGCTTCGGTATGAGTTCCACCTCAATGCAAAGAAAACAAAACTCCTCATCACTGGACCACTAAATAACATCATAAATGGAGAAAATATTTAAGTTGTCAAAGACTTCATTTTGTTCAGATCAACCATCAGCACTTATGGAAGCAGCAGTCAAGATATCAAATGACATATTACATTAGGCAAATCTGCTGCACAAGACCTCTTTAAAGTGTTCAAGAGCAAAGATGTCAGTTTGAGGACTAAGGTGCGCCTGACCCAAGCCAGGGTATTTTCAATCACCTTGCATGCATATGAAAGTTGAACAGTGAATAAGAAAGACCATAGAAGAATTGATGCATTTGAGCTATGATGTTGGAGGAGAATATTAAATGTATCATGGACTACCAAGAGAACAAACCAATCTGTGTTGGAAGAAGTACAGCCAGAATGCTTCCTGGAAGCTAGGATGGCCAGACTTCATCTCACATACTTTGGACATATATATTGTCAGGGGGGACCAGTCCCTGGAGAAGGATATAATGTTTGGTAAAGTGGAGGGGTGGGGAAAAAGAGGAAGAACCCCAGTGAGGACTCACATGTAGCAATGACTGTGAGGTTGGTGCAGGACGTGGCAGTGTTTCATTCTGTTGGGCATAGGGTCACTATGAGTCAATACCAACTCGATGACACTAACGATGACAACGACAACTACTCAAAGTTTAAAGATTATCTAAGGACATTCGATTTTGGGGTTCCCCCAGTCTTAAAAGGTCCAGTAAGTCTAGATTCCATAAAAATTTTCCATTCTATTTCACCCTGTTTTTGATCAGGACCCATTTATTGAAGCCATGATCAAAGCAAGCACTGAACACATTTTAACATGTCATGAGAAAGCTTTTATAGGTCTTCATGTGACTGACTTTGATAACACACTTAGTGGTGCATGGGGGATTTTAGCAAAGTGGAGGAAACCCAAGAAGCAGACATTGGTTCCCCATTTTCTGTGAAATCTGAGAAAGAACACAACAAGGATGAGGAAGGAGGTATAGCTTTCACTGGAAATCAATCACTATCATACATGGGGTTGAGAGGCTGGGCGTGATCATGGGGGTTTGGTTGTTTGTTGATTCTCAGCTAGTAAGCAACCGCATGTGCTGGAGAAACCTGGGCTGGGTCTTGCTTCTGGGGACTCATTCAAAAATGTGTGCCAGGAAAGGACTTTTTGTGAGTAAATACCCCTTTCTTTTCCAGGCTGACCAAAAATGAACTCAATGATGAAGTGGCAGAGAATTTGGCAGAAATGCTGAAAGTCAACCAGACGTTGAAACATTTATGGTAACTTAGAGAAGCTTAGAATTTTATACTGGGCTCCTTTAAAAATCTTTTTGAGATAAAATTCCCCAAGGGAAAGCAGAGCTAGAAGAGACTCTTGATTAATCCCTGCACACACAGAGAATGCTGGCCCTCGGTAAGGTCAGCCCCAGCAGGCACAGGTGCTTGAAAGCTGTCAGGCCTTTTAGAGACATTAGGGAATTTCTTCCCACCTTCAACACCTTGCCCAACCTTGGCTGGAGGCAGCCTACCCTCCTCCCAAGAAGGTGTAGGTAAAGGAAGTGCCAAGAACTGTGAAGGCAGTGACTAGAACTGATTACAGAACTCTCTGTGTTTCTTGGGTCTCCTTTTGCAAAAATGTCCAAGTTCCACCTGGAGTCATGCTCAGTGGAAGTTCATTGTGCCACTGGGCTGAGGGGTCCCAGCCTTGGGGAGGTGTGGTTGGGTGCTGGTCCACCACCAGCAGCCCTGTGCTCCAGGGCTCAGAGCTTCCTTGTACTGAGCACTGTACCAGGGGTTGTAAGACCTACTTCATACATAACCTCCCATTGAAGCTTCACATACCTATAGGAAGTGCACGGTCAGGATCAGTCCCATTTTGCAGATAAGGCAACTGAGGAGCAGATCACTAAATTTCATTCTTCCAAGTCCTATAGCTGAAAAGTGGGGCTGGGGGCTGTGTTACCACTATGCTAATACTGCCTCTCTGAGTGGGTAGGCCCTGTCATACTTCATCAGCCACAGTAGCATGTTCTTCTTGGGTCTGTGCCCAGGGTTTCTCTGGGTCAGGTTTAGCAGACCTGATTCTGCAAGTAGCCAGGCATGAGCTGACAGTGACGTAGAGACATCATGGCCTCCAGCTGCATTTGTTTCCTGGTTGGGTTAGAAGCCTTGCTCAGGGAAGCATTTCAGGAATTTCCTGGTTTTTCCAGCTGTATTTGTAACTTTGTTTTCATCTTGGGTCATTGCCACACACCATAATAGGTACAGTCTTAGAGGCTGTTACAAATCAGAAACGGAATTGATACTTTTTCACTGGGACCCATGGGTGGCAGTACTGGAGAGCTGCTTGTTCTCTCTCCCTCTTGGACGTTGGAGAGGACGCAATACCAACATAGAAAACTTTTGGCTCACACCCACCCCGAGAGAAGTGGAGAAGCACCAGTTGGCAGCTACTTAACTTTAAAACATCCTTGCCTTTCTAGCTACCTGGATGACTGACTGATTTATTTCTTCGATGCGTTGTTCAAATGGGTGGTCTCTAAACATTTTTAATATAGGTGTGCTCCTACGATAAGCATCTCAAGTTTATATTCATGTATTGTACTACCTACATGGCTGCTGTGAGTTGAAACCAACTCGATGGCACTTAAGAAGAAGAGCAACAAAAATGAATCTACAGATATGTTATGCTCACTATAAAAATACAAAAGTTTAAAAGATGTTCTTTATTCTTGTGGATTTGATCTAGACAATCTTTTTATTGGCTGTTGTTAAACGCCACTGATCTGATATCGACTCATAGCTGCCCTGGGTAGGGTTTCTGAGGAGTGGGCTTAGCCAGATGAAAAGTCTTGCGGATATAGCTCTTCCCTTGACTCCATCTCTTATACTATTACTTAAGAGGGGCCCCCAAAAGTTGTGGAAAATGGAAAGGAAAGATAAGTAAAATTTTCATCAACTTTTTAAAGCTCCCTCATATACCCTCACAATTTCTCACATTACAAATGAGTTCTGTTCCCAAGTCTGTCTTTAAGTCAAATTTGTCCCAATTTGTCCATAGGTCAGAGCAGTTAGGTATTGATCACATCTAAAATGTTGTTGTTGTTGTTGTTGTTAGGGACCATCAGGTCTGTACTGACTCATAGCGACCTTATGCACAATAGAACGAAACACTGCCCAGTCCTGGGCCAACCTCACAATTATTGCCATGCTTGAGCCCATTGATGCTGCCACATTGCCAATCCATCTCACTGGGACTCTTCCTCTTTTTCTCTGACCCTCCACCTTACCAAACATGATATCCTTCTCCAGAGACTGGTCCCTCCTGACAGTATGTCCGAAGTATGAGAGACAAAGTTTGGCCATCTTGGCCTCCAAGGAGCACTCTGACTGCACTTCTTCCAACACGAATCTGTTGGTTCTTTTGGCAGCCCATGGCACTTTCAAAATTCTCCTCCAATCCCATAACTCAAAACCATAAATTCTTCTACAGTGTTCCTTATTCACTGTCCAACTTTCTCATGCATATGAGGTTATTGAAAATACCATGGCTTGGGTCAGGCACACCTTAGTCCTCAAGCTGACATCTTTGTTCTTCAACACTTTAAAAAGGTCTTGTGCAGTTAACATGTTAGTCAAATGTTTATCTTAGTATACACAAAAGCATTTCAAAAAGTTTGTGAAACAATTCCATTATCTTTTCATTCCATTTCTCCATGACCTTTTGGACCCCCACCCCCTCATAGTATATAGTGTACCTTTATATGCATAAAAACACTCAAGAAATGCTTCCAGATACACTAAGACATCTGGAACACAATAAAACAGTAATAATAACTCTGTTTTGATGTGTGGTGTGAAGTAGTACCCACTTGTTGCTATGAACCATTGTGTGTGCTTTGGATTTTTAATATAACAGGCATTTTGGTGGTTGGTTTGTAACTATAGACTGTACATAAGCCCGAAGTCCCTAACCCTAACCCAGGGACTGTTGTGTTATGTTCTTTCAGGCTTATCCAGAACCAGATCACAGTCAAGGGAGTTGCCCAGCTGGCAGACGCATTGCAGAAGAACACCGGCATCATGGAGATTTGGTGAGACCCCCTCACCACTTGTAACAACAATGATAAGGATCTGCTCAGCACCACCAACTATGTGCCAGAGAAGTGTCTATTTATATCTCATCTTTCCAATAACTTTGCAAAGTGTGTGGTGTTAACTCCATTTCATGGATGCAGAAATAAGTGAAGTCAGACTCGCCCAAGGTCACACTCAAGTGGAGAAACCAGAGCGTGAATACAGACTGCCTGATCCGCAGCCTGTGGGTGCCTCCCTGGTGCCCTTGGTGGCAGTTGAGCTGACTTTGACTCTTTCTCCACTTCCTGTTTCTGCTTTGAGAACTTGCTTATGCCAATGAAAGGAAGCCCTCGTTTGCTTTCATACAACATTGAGTCCCGTCCTTTATTCCCTCCCACAATACACCCCAACACACACACACTCTCCAGGCCCCTTCATAATTTCATTACAGGTAGATGTGCCTTCAGAACATGGAATATTGCAGCATGTTTTCTGGTAGCAACAACACACCACTCTTGTGTCCCTGTATTATACAGGTACCAGGTCAGGGGCTGGGGATACAACAGTTAATGTGATCCAGCGTCTAACAAGTGCTGGCTTCATGGAGCCCAGTGCAGAGGGTTTGGACATCTGAACCTGAGCATGAATTCATGCTTTGAACATTGGCTGTCAACCCCAGGACCTGAGTGAGGCACAGGCCTGTAAACCAAGGCCTCAGCTCACCAGCTCCTTTCTCTTCTTTTGAGAGAACCCCAAACATGGAGCTAACAGAATGTTAGCCTGGTTTTCTCTCCTACTGCCCTCATGTACGTGAGCCCTTGCTTAGTACCAGCTCCATTTCCTGTGAATTCTTTTGCTTGAATAGATGAGGCGGAGAGGAAGAGGAAGGCGGCAGGCAGACTTCAGAACAGTTTGCAAGTGACAGTTGGCCTCTGTTTTTCTCTGAAGCTGGTTAAGGAGAGTTGTAAAGATAAGAAGCTACTTGAATTCTGTCCAGCTTTAAAATATACATTTGCTGACTCTTAGCATCCAGTATCCCTACACAAAGAATGACAGTAGGTGAGGTGTCTTTAGAGTCAAAGATGCCAGAAATAGGCATGCAGATAGAGAGTGGGCATGGCGACTCCATATGATAAGCATTGGACTATGAACCTCAAGGTCTGCATTTGGGTTTGCCAGTCGTTCAGAGTGATAAGGCTTCCTGCTCTGGCTAAGATTTAAAGCCTCAGAAACATTATACAGTTTCCAGAGCCTTTAAATGAGTTGGAACCGACTCAACAGCACTTAACAATAGCAACATAGAGGGCGGTGAGGAGAACCTGTCAGAGGCAGACAGGGCAGGACAGATAGCTTGAGTGCTGACCTTGGATTATCTGTAGTTCAGTGCCTGGACACTACAAGTGTTCAGTGGCCTGAACATCATAAGCATTTATCAAACTCCATTCGAATGGCTTTGTCCTGAGCTCTTCGAGGATAAGGACTGCCACGCTCACTGGTGTGTCTTCCGTCACTCATTGAATAAGAAGGTGTGTGAATGTGTCACATAGTGTTAGCACCAAGAATTCAAAACTGCACTAAATGGACTTGGCCTCACAAATTTACCATCTAGGGAGAGAAGCTACACAGTAAAGAAAAAAAAAAAATTGTTTAAATTATTACTTAATACAGTTGTGCTCATGGACTGCTAACCACACTGTTGGTGGTTCAAACCCACCAGTCACTCCTTGGTATGAGTTGCACCCGACTTGAAGGCACTTACCAATTGTGCTATAAAGAAGAAAGCTAGGAGAGGGACCTAATACAGGATGAGGTTTTAGGAAAGGTCTCTCTAAGGAAGTGGCATGTAAATTAAGTGGTGAACAATGAATAGAAGTTAGTCAGCTGAGGCCTGAGAAAGTGATTTCCAGATAGAGGAAACAGCATATGCAAAGGCACTGAGGCAGAAAGGACAACACTAAGAAGGAAAATTATAGACCAATATCCCTCATGAACATAGATGAAAAAAATCTCAACAAAATCCTAGCCAACAGAATTGAACAACACATCAAAAAAATAATTCATCACAACCAAGTGGGATTTATACCAGGGATGCAAGGATGGTTCAACATCAGAAAAATAATCAATGTAATCCACCATATAAATAAGAAAATGGAAAAGAACCATATGATCATATCAATTAATGCAGAAAAGGCATTTGACAAAAGCCAACATCCGTTTCTGATAAAAACACTCAACAAAGTAGGAATTGAAGGGTAATTTTTCGACATAATTAAGAGCATGTATACAAAACCAACAGCTAACATCAATCTTAATGGTGAGAAACTGAAAGCCTTCCCCTTACAAACAGGTACCAGACAAAGATGCCCTTTATCACAACTCCTGTTCAATATTGTTTTGAAAGTCTTAGCCAAAGCTATACGGCAAGATAGAGAAATTAAAGGCATCCAAATTGGCAAACAGGAAGTAAAAGTCTCTCTATTTGTAGACAATATTATCCTGTACATACAAAACCCCAAAGAATCAGCAAAAAAAAAAACTACTGGAACTCATTGGAAGATTCAGCAAAGTGGCAAGGTACAAGATCAACATACAAAAATAAGTTGGATTCCTCTATACCAAAAATGACAGCGTTAGGAAAGCAATACCATTTGCAATAGCCACCCAAAGGATAAAATATCTAGGAATAAATGTAACCAGAGAAACAAAGGACCTATACAAAGAAAACTACAAAACACTACAAGAAACCAAAAGAGACTTAGAAAAATGGAAGAATATACCATGCTCCTGGATAGGAAGATTAACATTGTGAAAATGTCAATACTGCCCAAAGCAATTTACACATATAAATGCAATCCCAATCCAGATTCCAACACATTCTTTATAGAGATAGAAAAAAAAAAAAAATTACAAACTGTATGTGGAAAGGAAAGAGACCCAGGATAAACAAAGCACAGCTTAAGAAGAACAAAGTTGGAGGCCTCTCACTCCCTGATTTCAAAATTTACTACACGGCTACAGTGGTCAAAACATCCTGGTACTGGTACAATGAAAGATACATAAGCCAATGGAACAGAATTGAGAATCAAGAAATTAACCCATCCACATATAGCCAACTGAGCTTTGACAAAGGGCCAAAGTACACAGAGTGAAGAAGACATAATCTCTTCAACAGATGGTGTTGGCAGAACTGGAAATCAATATGCAAAAGACTGAAACAAGACCTTTACCTCAGGCGTTATTCAAAGACCAACTCAACATGGATTAAAGACATAAATGTGAATCCCAGAATTATAGAGGTCATCAATGAAAAAACAGGGACAAATTTAAGGGCTCTAATTCTGGGAACACACAGACTATGACACATTGTGAAAATTACACAAACAAAAAAAGACAAAATAGATGACTGGGACATTCTAAAAATTAGAAACTTATATGCATCAAAAGGTTTCACCAAAAGAGTTAAAAGGGAGCCCACAGAATGGGAAAAAATCTTTTGCAATGACATATCAGAAAAATGACTAAATTCTAAAATCTATAGGAAACTACAACACCTCTACAAGAAAAAGACAAGTAACCCAATGAAAAAATGGGCACAGGACACGAACAGACGCTTTACCAAAGAAGACATTTGGGCAGCCAACAAACATGAAGAAATGTTCACAATCACTAACCATTAGAGAGATGCAAATCAAAACAACAATGAGATATCATCTCACACCAGCAATGACAGCAAAGACCAAAAATGCAGAGGATAATAAATGCTGGCAAGAATGTAAAGAGACTGGGACCCTCCTGCATTGCTGGTGGGAATGCAAAATGGTCCAACCACTCTGGAAAACAGTATGGCACTTCCTCAGAGAGTTGGAAATAGAAATACCATATGATCCAACAATTCCTCTACTTCATATATATCCACAAGAAATATGAGCCATAACATGAGTAGATATATGCACACCAATGTTCATAGCAGCACTATTCACAATAGCAAAAAGATGGAAATAGCCAAAGTGCCCATCAACTGAAGAATAGATAAACAAACGTTGGTACATACACACAATGGTATATTATGCTACCTTGAAGAATAACAAGGAAGCTGCAAGCCACCACATAACATGGATGAACCTTGAGGGCATTATGCTGAGTAAAATTAGTCAGTCACAAAAGGACAAATATTATATAAGACCATTATTGTAAAAGCTTTAAGAAAAGATACTCGTACTAAAGTGGGAAAAACATTTCTTTGTTGATTACTGGTGGGGTTGGAGTGGGAGGGTTTGGAGGAGGTGGAGGGAGGTGACAGTAGAGCACAGGGTAGGGGCAGACACGTAATAGTTCAGGTGTTGGGAAGGGCAGTACACAAGAAGTGGGCGGGGGTGGAAGAACAAGGTAGATAGGGGAACACTGAGACAGGTTTGCATGGGCTAAATCGGACAGAGGTAAATAGTGATGCATGCTCAACCTTGGAACAACAGATCAAGCCATAGTCTGAAGAGGGGAAATAATACTAAGATGCTTGACGGTCATATGTATATTGGTTTCCCTTTCTTACTATTGTAAAATTGAAACTTGAGTTGGGTAGAAAGGAATTTCAGAAACATGATTGCAGAATGCTTGTAAGCCCGTCTTCAGCCTATAACTGATTGGAATACCAAAAAGGGGTTCTACAACTTGCCCAGTGAAATAGGCTTTCTGCGGAGACTTTGCAGTGTATAGGACCTTAGGTGGAATCCTGAGCCCTATCCAGAATCTTCTGAGGTGGGACATTCCCACTAGAAAGGACAAGCAGACCAGCCTGGAACAGCTAGAGCAACAGAAGATATATCTTCAAAGAAAGATCATCAGGAAAAGCCCAAAACAAAAATGGCAGTATGATTGGCTACTACAAGAACAAGCAGTTGTTCGCCAGGAAGCCATCAAGGCAAGTAATCAAGTCCCTTCAGGACAAACTCCCTTCTAAGATTGAAACTCAAAGGGAATACATGAGCAGGTATGTAAGCTTGCAGGTGACCATGTTGGTCTACTGGTGATTGAAAGAGGGGGAAAAGCAGCAGTGAAGAAATGGGCTGAATTCAACTGCGTTCCACAGACTTCTGTGGACCTGGAGATGAGATAGAGAAGAAGAAGAAGTCTGGTTGGTTCAAAAACTGGTGAGAGCTGGGGACACCTGAACCTATGGACAAGGACATAGCCTAGGAGGGCTAGAGCTGAGAGTGAAACATCCAATTGATACGAAGTGAGAGGGGTTGCACAAGAACAACTTAAGTTACAGATTGTACCCATTTGACTTAGCCTTG